ATTTATGCGATATAAAATACTGAGGACCCCTCTCGTGAAGTAACCAGGTTCGATGACCTGTTGATAGACGAACAAGTTTACGTACCTCCATTTATTTTGGTGACATAGTCAACATAAGGATGTGTCCTGTTTACAAGATCTCCGTAAAGCGGAGGAGGAGTGGCTGTGGGTTCGAGTCCCGATCGGTCATGGTAACATAACGTATATACAGCTCGTGTTGCGACCTCGAATCTCGTTTGAATTTTTAGAGCAGTTCATTGTAGAATGTCCTGAAATTTTCTTTTTTTCCAATTATCGATTTTCAAGCTTAATATCTTAAACTCAGTTGGAACCGATACCCGATCTGAGTTCTTGATGATGCGTACATATTTCTTGCCAATCCTTACCCCGATGAATAAAATACAAATGCTTTAAATGTTTGAGGATTAGTGTACAAATTGGTATGTTGTAACCGTATGTTGTTTAGTGTATATCGCGCCTCCTCGCAACCGGGAGAAAATGGAAGACGCGAAAATCAAAATGCACCTTATCAGCTACATTTTCTGGTTACAGTTAGCGTCAACACAAAGATAAACAAATATAAATGTTGACTCTGAAATTCTCATCTAGCACAGCGTACACAGTGATTTGAAAGAAATGCAGTTTTCAGTATACTAACGCGAAAAGCTCAAGCGTGATAAAGTTTGATATTCGTGTTTTTACTTACCATGAGGTATACACACGACACACGCGGTAACTGTTGTCCTACCTAACACCAAATCCTTGTTTGTTCTACAGATATCACATTTACACAATCTCCCTAATACAACAAAATCATTGTTCCCGGGTATTTTCTGGTAAAGACTCGTCTGTTTGTTTGGTAATCCAAACATACAACTGATGGGGGTTTCATGTTGAACTTTGACCTTAAACCACAGAATCCTGTTATGTTTTTATACGATTTGTTTGGTCTGTCCCGTAAATCCCAGACAGGTGTCAGAAATACAATACTTACAGATTATACATACACATTAGATATCACTGTGTTTGTCCCGTGTGCACATATTGCACACATCGTGATCAAATTATTACCGATCTTCCAATGGTATTAAACGTCCAATCACCTCGGATCTGCTCAAGGACATATCTTTCGCCACGTTTTTAACCATTTGATAATTTCTATAAATACGTGTCTTGTCATTATCTAAATGAAAATAATGTGTCATCCGAAACGTTCACAATAGTACAAATTAACAAATTGGGACCGAGCTCTTTTCGAACTTATCTTTGATAAATAGTACAATTAGCAACTACACGGTGTTGAAGTTGCTGTTTTGTGATCAACATGATGTGGCGTTGAATTTTCACCTTTAGTTCAAGTTTACTGTCAGCTCAGCAGTATATACAGAGTATATAATATGGAGCATAGATTTGATTTGTTTGTGTTTTACGTCCTATTAACAGCCAGGTCATTTAAGGACGTGTCAGATTTTGATGGTGGAGGAAAACCGGAGTTCCCAGTGAAAAATCTACGACCAACAACCACTACATGGCGACTGCCACGTACATGTAGGTCTCGAACCCGCGACCCAGTGCTGGAGGGCTAGTGGTAGCAGAATGTCAGACGCATTAACTCTTGGTCACCGCGGCCCCGCAGAGAATAGAGAACAGTATAATATATTAATGATTGTCTCAAACTGATAGTATTATATACATATTTACTTAACAGATTAATAATGCTGATAAACTGGGGCACACAAAGAAAACAAAACATAATCATAATTGTGTCATCTTACACCAGAAATGATTTTGTTCCGACAATAACGCTGCACATTTTATGCTTTGACCTGAAGCTGACGAAGAAGAGGTTTACTGTAACGTTGATCATGCCCCAGTGTCTGTCTCAATCCCTATACAATATTAATATTTGCATGATTTATTTGACTTTAAATTATCAAATACTTTATTGAATACTGGTGTATTAAATTATGAACTTGTATCTGAAGATTTCAGATATTTCAGACCAGGGGTATTATTCACTTCTAAAAGCTACTTGGTTATGGTTAATTATTACCCCGTACATCTTCCCTCCCTTCTAATAAAGCTTTATAACTAGTGATAAGTGTGTACCTTTCTAATGTTTATTTATTCTGCTTACGTAATCTTCTAATTTGAGGTAATAAAGAGTAACACTAATAGGTAATAACGTTGATGATTACCTAGTACCTAGCCCCTGTGACTGGCCCTTTCCTGATTCAACATTGACAGTTAGTCGTACATTATACCGTACACCGTAGTTACGAACTCCACAGTTTAAAGTGAACTTTATCAGAACAAACAGCTATCACAATGGACTCATATGTTCCGAGTCGTATACTGAAATCTCTTACAAGGGCTTAGAACTTGCCGGGCCAATATTCTCTTTCATTTACGTGAATTATCAGATCTTTTTCTGACATTTTAACCATGGCGAGATAAAATTGAGTTTTACCTTCACAACAAAAGTGGCAAGTTTCACCATTAGAAAAAAAAACAGGCAATGCATTAAGCGATATTCCCGTTAAGCGAGTGTCAGCTTGAATCCTCCTATAAATTGATGCATTAGTGATAGGTGATTTAGCGAATCCTCCCGAGTGTTCGGTAAGTCCACTCTGTATGGCGCGGATTTCGGTCTGCCGATATCGTTCGGGTGATTTAGGGTTATGTCACTTCCAATCAGCTCGCATAAACGTAACGTACAACCCAATGATATCCATGTAAACCACACAAGTTCAGCAAGTTGTGCATTCCATATATAGACTACCTGTTTAATGCACTGATTTTTTTTTCTTCAAACAATTAGATGCATTGAATGCTTTAAAAACTTTTTCAAAATAAAGTTGGTATTGTAACGGAATTTCTAAAGTCAATTTGGTAATTTATCCAACAAATGTCACTGCCATGTACATTATAGGCAGTGGCGTAGCCAGCCCTTGTTTGGATTGGATTCGTTTAGGAGCGGGTCCAGCCGGGGAGGGACTTGGTAGCGGGACAAGGAGGTATAACGCGCAGTGTTTTTGTTTGAAAAAATCGTTGATTCACCTGCGTACCAGCGTACACGTCTTACAGGTACGATATTCAACTTAGGGAATAATGACGTTATCGTTGTATGACATCGAACATTATCTTGTATATGACATTACATTGTATATTATGTCGCATAAAATCGCATCGCACTTTTCACCCTACATGACACAGCATAACGCATATCATCGTTCTTGTCTTGAAATTCCGTCGTATATTTCATCATGCGTGAAAACGTGTCCTACATTTCATCGTATGTCATTTGGTTTGTTTGAGCTTTACGTCATACTTACAGCTATGGTCATTCATGGACGTGCCAGGTTTTAGTGATGGAGGAGAACCGGAGTACCCGGAGAAAAACCACCGACCGGCAGCCAGTACCATGACCACTGCCCAACGTTGGCATCGAACCCGCGACCCAGTGGTGGATGGCTGGCGATCGTAGACGGTCAGACGCCTTAACCACCAGGCCACTGCGGTCCCTCGTATGTCTTTACATCGTTTATGTCTTCGTTCAATACATTCCATCGTATAGGACATGTCAAAGTACAGTCGTGAATTGACATCGTATATACCTTTATGTGACATACCACCGAATCGAAATATCAAACTAGATGACATGGAATAGAAAACCCAGCTCAACGGTTACATAGGATGTCTACCTTCATTAAAGAGGATGTTCCGAAGTTTACACTGTTCTGTCCTTGATCGTAGAAGATACCCCAAGTCTACAAGCTGAACTATGCATGGTCAGAAGGTGTCAATAAGCCAGACCTTTCCTGGACGAACAGGATGTCTATCAGCCTAGGATATTCCTAGTCTGAAGGCCGGACTGTCCTTGGCAGTAGAGTGTCCCCTAGATTACAAACCAGACTGTCTCTGGCCATAGAGTGTTCCTTACACTACAATCCAGATCTTCCCTGGACGTGCACAGAATGTTCCTTAGACTACAGGCCGGACTGTCCCTGGTCGTACAGGGTGTCCCCTAGACTACAGGACGGACTGCCCCTGGCCGTCCAGAGAATGTCCCCTAGACTACAGGCCGGACTGTCCCTGGCTGTACAGGCTTTCCCCTAGACTACAGGCCGGACTGTCCCTGGCCGTACAGAATGTCCCCTAGACTATAGGCCGGTCTGTCCCTGGCCGTTCAGAATGTCCCCTAGACTACAGGCCGGACCGTCCCTGGCCGTACACAGAATGTCCCCTAGACTACAGGCCGGACTGTCCCTGGCCGTACAGAATGTCCCCTATACTACAGGCCGGACTGTCACTGGCCGTACAGAATGTCCCCTAGACTACAGGCCGGACTGTCCCTGCCCGTAGACAGAATGTCCCCTTGACTACAGGCCGAACCGTCCCTGCCCGTAGACAGAATGTCCCCTAGACTACAGGCCGGACTGTCCCTGTCCGTACACAGAATGTCCCCTAGACTACAGGCCGGACCGTCCCTGTCCGTATAGAATGTCCCCTAGACTACAGCCAGGACCGTCCCTGTCCGTACAGAATGTCAGACGCATCTGACTACAGCAAGGACCGTCCCTGCCCCTACTGGTCAATCGTATCTATCCGTAGAGCTATCCTCTTGTCAGCATACTCCCTCCCTCCGACCGACCTTGTCCTATAGGCAGTACCCCCGAGACCCCAGTCTGTACCAAATCGTCTCTCGTGGTATCTGGCTTCAGAGGATGTCGAGATTTCTAGCTTTGGATTCTTGAACGTATGTATAAAACTCACAAGTAAATGCATACTGCACTTAGAACGGCATTGCAGCATGCATTGCATGACTCAGAGCAACGATGCGTCTGAAATATTTGGTGGAAGAAGAGCTTTGAGGGACGGACAGCAAAACAGGGTAGAGTTGGGGGAAGGAACCAAAGGAACAGGAAATGGTGAAGGGTACCTAGGGGTACTCGACGTAACCGAAGGGACGGTGTCTGCAGGGATAAACCAATTCTTACCTGGCGCATGGTATCACACACCTGTATCACGTGACATCCAGTAGTCCATGGTATATAATTCCCGGGGGTGGGGGTCAATGAATGACTTGGGGATACGACTGGACATTCACACACCCCACAAACAAATACTTCCCATCCAGCTCGGTGGTGACATAGCCGACATTTATATAAACACTCTTGTTTCCGTACTGAAGTCGAATTATGTATTCATGCCAGTACGGTATCTTATCACGCATTTGTCAATAACACGTGGAGTAGCGAGTTGAGAGGCCCACCAATGGATGATCGCTCTCGCACAACTGTTTACTTTGGATGTTAATCTACTTTATTCTAGGCCCGCCCACCGGGCTCGGGGTATATGCAGGTATAGAATGCCATACGGATTATACTATCAGAAAAATTCACAATTACTTGTTGATAAATTGGCATTTTAATCTACAAGAGATTGATGAAAAATCATGGCAAATTTAACATGGTAAGTGTTGAGCGTGGGAGCGAAAAGCGGTGGTGACAGTTTAAAAGTATGGAGTTGTAGGGGGCTACATGTAGGCTTGGTACCGTGTGGCATTCATGATTGTAGTGACATAACCTGTTAAATATTGATTAAAGCCAATAAATGGTCACCTTTGTGTGACGAGTTGTCTTATCGACCACGCGGTTTAGATACGTGTGTGGTATATGCCAATGTTCCATTGAACTTGGTTGTTTCGGACAATTTATACCGGAATGATGAAGTGTTGGCATGATAACGTCTTTTAAGTGACTGCCGTATGAACGTTTACGTAGGGTAGGGTTCCAAATGACACCATTACAGAGCTACAGCAGGAGCTCAATTGCAACACAGTAATACTTTCGAACTACTCGCGGTTAGTCATCGAACTTAGCTAAATAGAACAATACTGCTGCTTCTCTTCATGAATGAATTCAAAGTTGTCTTTCGATTTAAGAGAGTTCCACAGCTTTTCTACTCTTTAAATGCATTGTAAAGTTGTTTTTCGGTTAAAATTATGCTCATTCCTTTATGATTGAAGACCTTTTTAGGATTAGAATATGTGAAATTACTTCTAGTAATGTTGCCGAAAAGTATCAACAAACAGTAATACCAAAGATAATGTCCTTGCTTTATAATCAAGAGGTAAGAGGATTGAATCACTCTTTGCTATAATAAAGGGGCAGGCAACTCTAGGTCAGCAAAACAATGCTTAACAATCTAGAACTCTTCTCTGTTGGAGATACAGCACAGACTGTAGGGCCTCTACCTTAATTACATGTTACCTTTTGCGTTGTTATCTAGCGTCCTAGGATGTTTATCAGAGTAATATCCCTTACACATTTTTCATTATTTTAGGATTGCCGGAAGGACGCAATGACAGCATTTTACGCGATTACGTTCCTGAAGACAATTCACTGTGATATGTTGTAGCCCTTCTGAAATTCATTCTTGGTCAAGCGTAATTTAAGAAATATCAAATATAATTATTATATGCTTGTATTACGATGGAATATATAACGATGATGAGAAAATATGGAAAATATTATAAACGAAAACCGATAGGCCTGTGTTTATTTATTTTCCCAACATTTTTTAAATCCCGAATTATACGTTCCACCATAATACACAACATATGTTGATTATATCTATTCTTCCACATCAAATATAACGAAATGCATGTTTTTCTTACTGAAAGATACCCCGATATTTAATTTTGCTGTCACTACCACAGGGGCATGGATCGCTTTACTTGTAATATCAAAAAACCAGGGGTCTCCTTTTTAGTAGAGGAGACCCCTATTTCTTAATATTACAAGTAAAGCGATCCATGCCCCTGTGGTCACTTCAACCTTACTTAAGAAAAAATATCCACGCCTGGTTTTTCAAAGAAATTGCATGTCTTCTGTTATTCGAACATAATCTGGACATAAAACGAAATCCATTGGACAATACCGACAGAGGAAAGATTTGTGGTAAAAACGGTACAGACCATGAATTTCATGTTTGTTTAAGCGTCCCCTTGGTAAAACACTATTTTGAGAGAGAAATACAAGAAAAATAACCCTGCTGTATTTAAGTTGACAAGACTCTCATCAGTTATAAAGTTAAATATATCTTTGATCTTGAAATCGTTTGTAAGCAGCAGGTAAGTGTTTCTTAGAACATGTTTTACTGTGTTTATATGTCTCTGTTTTGTACAGTACAGCCGTAGTTTGATATGCTAGTGTTCTACAATTTATAGTTCTGTTGGGCTACTTTTACTTACATCATTTGTACAAACTTTTTAGATACTTGTTTTCTGAAGAGCCTAATATGGAAATCGGTGGTCGGGTGGTGCAGTGGATAGCGCACTTGCCTTTTGCCAAGACGGCCGGGGTTCCATTCCCCGATAGGACGTAAAAGGGTAGGGGGGTCACCTGACTGATCACGTGGGGTTATCCGGGTACTCAGGTTTCCTCCCACATTAACATCCCCTTCCGCGCGCTTACATCAAGAGTGGTTAATATAATTTGAAATATCTTGTTTCATAATTGTTGTAAAATAAATAGGTTTTTTTTGGAAATCTTTTGCTCGTTTGCATATCGTAAAATGTGTGCAATATTAATTACAATTTTCGGATGAATATCAATATTTTATAATCGAAATTATCACAACAAATGTATTTTATATAATGTACTGTATATGTTGCTTATGATGGGCTTATAGATGTAACCGATGAAATATAATAGTAAAGGAGTTGACCGGGATGTTGGAGAGATTCCGTTCTTTGACGGAATTGGCCGAAATGCTGCGATAGTTGCGGTCTTTGAGGGAGTTGACCGGGATGTTGCGATAGATTCCGTTCTTTGACGGAATATGAAGATTAGGTAAATTATGTGCTCAAAGATGTGAGAAAATATGCCTTATTTTGTTCAACACGCCTCGGCTTGTTTATTAGACGCGAATTTAATTGTATTTTTGTTTATTGAATTTACGTTTTGTTTATTGAGATTCTCTTTACAGACACTGAGTGATGATAAGAGGATTGTTTTTAACTGTCCATCAACACAATAAACGTAATGGCCATGCGGTTACAATTATGATAAATGGTACGTGTGCCAAGGGAGATACTGAGGTAGCAAATTGTAAACAGGTCAAAAATTAAAGCTCATAATTATTTTAAAGTGAGCTGCACACCCAGTTTGGGGTTCTTGGAAAATCCCAAGATTTTTGCATAAGTGGGAAGAGATGTCGCCTTTTACGACATGTATTGGGATACAGCAGTCTATTCTTTCCCCGGACCTGTTAAGATAGTGTGGCAATGTCGTAAGAATGAAAACCAGGGGTCCTTGGGTACATATTGGAGGCTTCCACTGCAAGGACTTCATTGGTCGACCAGGTACCGAATACTATATATAGCACAGTGTATGTTATATACGTAAGTACGATTCTCTGTAATAACCCGGTATTAGAGGTCAAAGGTGAAGGATAAGCCCGGCGTATCTAATAACTAATAAGACACTTCATTTCAGCGACGAAATCAGAAGAGTTGTGATAAGCAACAACAACAACAAAACATTGACAGGTGTGACGGACATCCCCCCAATAATGGGGAGGAGACTTTATCACGCTCCCTATCAGGGGCCGGGCAAGTATTGGTTCCTTATCGCCACTGCTGGGTCAATATTGCACAAATACAAGAAAGGTCTTAGACTGTATAAACAGAAGCAATGTGACACCTAAATACGGCCCATTCTTTCTTACATTGACACTAATCTATGGAATGTCAATTTTGGGACATCCAGTGTTATTGTTCCGGGAATCTCCTGTATCGGGTCGAAATATTACATTGTGTGTCCTTGATAAATGAGATCGAAACACAAATAAAGGTCGAGTGATTGACAAGGAATACAGAGAGATACGATGTTCATGGGAAATATTATAATAGTTTATTTCAAATTATACACGAAAACGTTAAAATTACAAAACAGTGACGTATTTCGATATCATAGAAAAGTTAATTTGCTCCAAAATAGGACAGATGTTTATCTGGTGTAATATACAGACAGGAGACGTCCGTCTCCAGTTGGCATTAAACACAGGCACATGTTTCCATGAAAAGTAAGGATTGTATACTACCTTGAATTTCGACATGAACCTCCTTTTCAGAAGAGATCCTGTTAATATCTTTGAGGAATAGCAAGTTTACTGTTACTGACCCAATGATACTGTAAAAAATACAAATTGATAGGCCTAACACAAGTGCAATTGCATATTTGCCTATTAACTCTTTCGAAGGGAGATCACTCTAACGTAAAATCGCTGGTATAATGTACAGTATTAAACATAAATATTTCCTTTTGATTTGTATTGACACTATACAAATCTACAAATTATACCTCAGATTTGGAGAAAACACATAATTCTCATGTAATTTTATTTTCAAGTATTAAAATATATCAGAATATTAAGTGTAAACTTTTGTTAATAATGATAGTCCTGTAACTTGGGAAAGAATAGCAAAATGATGACGGGCGTTATGGCGGTTTTTTCTGCAATTTTACAAACTTGTTGAAAATTAGGGGACTATTATAGTAAACATGTAGTGTGCTACCCATTTCGAATACAGGGTTACCAGAAATTGTGATTGGATTGAAAGTATGAACTTGAAAGCGTCGAGAAAATGTTTCAGACATACAATCTGTGTGGGTTTTTTTTTATCAAAGTGTTAAACCATTACTTTGAATGTACAGGATCGGTAATCCAGTAATGGGAATGTTTACGCAATTACTTTCAGGTGCATAAAGTAAGGTTTACCGGACCCAGTGATACAGTGCACGTGTTGTGTCTAACGTCCTTGTGTAAGCCGGAGCGCTAACAAGGACTATTTGAACTGCAAAACTTTTGCATCTCCTTTAAACATAACCTCTTACTTAAACTAAATCTAGACACAGAACCAGACGGGGAGGGGGTTACATTGGGTAAATAGACGATTGATGGGACAACCCCAATTTTACGAACACTTATAACCTTAAGGAATTCTTCAATTTAAGTTTCACCATAAGCTGGGCAATTATTCAAAGTGAAGAAAACTGGGGGGTTTTCCCCTGAGACCAATTATATTTTCATATGAAAAAAAATGAAAAAAAAGGTATTTCCTTAAGTCAGAGACGTATTATACGTCTCTGCTTAAGTTAAGAAAAAAGGCTTAAAATTCGGGTCTTGGTGTCCCATTCTTCTTTTAATCTGCTCATTATACTGGTGTGTCGCATGAAGCACACATCCGTATAGGGA